CGCTTCTGAGGAGGAAGGTTTGCCTTCTGAGGGCAGTGCCCCCATCATTTGCGATCTGAGCCGCCTTGCTGTTCAACGCGTCTTAGGATCTGGAAGTGTGGCCAAAGTCATGTCCGGCTTTCTCGATCAACAACCAGTGGCCATAAAGAAAGTGCAAGAGCAGCATGTGATCGAACATGAATTTCACCTTTTAAGGACAGTTGGGGACCATCCAAACATTGTTGGCTTGATCGCACGTGTTGACACGATATGGATGAGTGCATTGTTGCTGGAAGTGTTGAGGTGTTCCCTCCTGAATGTTTGTGAAGTACACTGGTTGTGGGACGCCGCAGAAGTTCAGCACGTGGCTCGGAACGTCTTGCGTGGTCTTTCGCATTTGGTCCGTTGCAAAGTTGTTCACAGAGACATCAGCCCGGGTAACCTCATGTGCGGAGGACATGCTTGTGAAGCGGTTTGGGCAACGTGGAAGGTTATTGACTTTGACTCTGCAGTTTCTGTTGGTGCATTGCCGCCTTCGAACATAGGAGGGACAATGAGGTATTGGGCGCCCGAAATGTTCGACCTCCCTCGGCCTCCACCAGACTTTCATCGAGACTTCTACGCCTTTGGAAAGGTTCTGCACGAGTTGGGATGTGTTGATGCCTTGGAGTTTACCTTATGCTTGCAGTCAGCTCGGCAGACGCGGCCATTGCCTGATGAAGCCTTGTTGCATGAATTCTTGTCGCCCTCTCGGAAGCGCAGGCGGACAGCCTGATCTTCCCAGTCGAAGGTTGACAGGGCAGAAACTGCGTCCAAGCTGGTTGGAAGTGATGGCCCGTGTGAGAAGTGCAGGAGACAACTGCGAGGCGGACTGACATCAATTTCCAGTGGTACAACAAGCGACAACATCAGTAAAAACGCCATTCGCTGCACTGATTTTACCGACCCTTGCATGTGGCAAAACAGACCAACTATTGTCAGGTCGGCTGGGATGAGGTTCGCACTGAGGTCCATTTATACAAAATGTGGTTCCCCACTGATTTCGGCTGTTGTAGACGTCTCGCCAGATCAGATCATAGTTTCGAGAAGCGCAAATGTGGGGGTGATAGGAGTCTTGCCGACAGGTTTAGTGCCATGCAAGGGTATGAATGGCTTGTTTCGCCCTTTCCCGAACCCCAAACCCGTACTCTCATATGGTCAGGATCGCGACCTGAAGCAAAGCCCAAGGATGCCCAAAGTTATGAAAGCCCAGGCCCCACAACACAAACAGCCCAGACCTTAAATGCTCAACGGTAAGCTTGACATGCTTTTGGGCTTAGAATCCCACCGAAACCCTACAGAATCCTCAGCCCTAACATAACCCCAATCCCGTTGAAGTGTGGGCCAGCCATGACACTGTCCTTAACCTTACACTCCCAGGTCCAAACCATGATGCTTGATTTTGGATGTAGTGGTCTGGGTCGGCAGTTGTTGTTTTGCCACATGGGTTTGTAATTCTAGATTCAAAGCCCCAACCTCAAGCCCCGCGTGCGCCCAAGCCAAAAGCCCCAGAAACACTAGGCAAAAACAGGGCAACCCACACTTTCCTACCTTCTGCCAGGTCAGGATGCACCGTGAGGGTTCCCGCAAAAACCTTCTTAAGCCCTGAGTCTGCAGGCGTAGCCGCAGATCATCAAATATGAAGCCTACCTTGATCATGTAAATCCCAAACCCATCTGCTTCCCTGCAATTTCGGACCCTATATGATCTCCTCTCCTCACAATCCCCATATATCTTAAGGTCACTGGGAGTTCTCAAAATGAAATGTTTGGGGGTACCGAAGCTCCGTACAGAAAATAGACTTTATGGTGGTGCATGTGTTCAAACTTGGCTGAGCAACCAAGTAAGCAGAGTGAACTGAGCACATCGGACGCATAGCGTAACAGGTTGCTACAAGAAGCTGTGCGGCATCAGCTATGTAGGTGGGCAATTCGATCAGAGGGACCATGTAGCGAGTCCAACGCCTCCAGCACGGAGTAAAATGTTGTTCCCCAACGGATCCCTGCGCTACGCCAACGTAGACCCCGAGTAGGCCCAGTGCACACAAGTGTCGCCGTGCCAGAGTAACCTGTAAACAGCTTTCGACCGGCTAGAGTTCCGCACGTGGTTCGAATTCCACCAGCTTATTTGCAGTGGACAACCAGCATTGGCTATGTTCAACGTCACCTACGATTGGCCACAACCAGTAGATTGCCGACTACAAGAGACCTTGTGCTCATCGGTGTCTGTTCTTGGTGAGCATTGGTGAGCACACTAAAATAACAATCGGTCATGCGACATGGCGATGATTCAATCTGCGGACATGCCAGCTGTGGATCCAATCACATACAAAGGTAGAGCTTGCAGTCGTCATCGGCCGTGAGTGCAAGGACTGCAAGCGATGTGAGAGTTTCTTTCGCACTGACTGCTTGTAATTTGCCTTTGCAGGATGTGACTCCTGAGCAAGCGCTGGACTACGTCCTGGGGCACGCTGCAAACGGGGCTTCAGCGATTCAAGTTTGACATGTGCAGGGTTCTTCATGACGCATAGTGCACTCGTTCGCAAGCCTTGCGCAAGCGAAGCAGTAGAGAAGGCAAGGGCTCCGTCCCCCCGCAGAGCGCGAGGTACACATGTGCGAACGACCTTTCCACCAGAGACTGGCAGAAGGTTCCCGAGCTTGCTGGTAGCACGGGCCTTGCCTTCGCATGTGTCTACGCCACTGAGTTGGCACAATCAAGTTCTTCGGGGATGAAGCAGGATATGAACCGCTTGGGCTGTGCTGCAAACTGAAAGGGGATAGCAAATCACAAGGCCGAGGAATTATGTACATCGCGAATTCTAAGCTTGGGTACTGCAGGGCTTGTCATCGACATCCCAGTTGATAGCAACTGCAGTACCATGGAGAACATTAACATGCCTTCAAGCTTTTTGCACGAGTTCCCTCCCCACCGCATGGGATTCAGTTTCAGCTGGTCCCTACAAAGGCCAGTGGTGTCGGTCCAAGAGCTTCGAAGGGCGCCTGGGACAAGCAGGGCTTTCCCCAAATTAGGGGTACCTTTCTAGGGGTCACAGTACTTAAGGGTTATAGTGCTTTGAAATCTATATTGGTTACCAGCAGTTGACACGTTGAGCTGGGGATCTGTGGCCTCAAGCCTGGCTCAACTGAGGTTTGCACCTTTGGGGCCCATCTTGGTGACCAAGGCCTGGTGGGTTGGGAGACCAACATATAATGGTTTGGGGTTTAGGGTTTAGGGTTGGGGATACATAGGGATAATGGAACATAAAATGGACACAGACTACTTATGATATAGGAGCTATTTTGGGGATAGTAGTAGTTAAGTTGGGGGTACCATGGTACCCCAATGTAGAGCAGGATTATATCTTCCTTTTGGGTATAGTCTTTTCTATACAGAGTATACGGCTACTTGGTTTAACCAAAAAAACCCTCACGTGGTGTAGATGTAGCTACTCCAGCATATACAGTGCACTGAAACTACTATATTATATAGGGGTTCTATTGGGGATATCTAGGGATAATGGAAAAGAAAATGGAAATTACTATAGTATAATAGGGTATTGTTGGGGGTTATATAGGGAACAATGGAAAAGAAAATGGAAACTACTATTTTACATAGGGGCTACATTGGATGCTTGAAGCAAGCAGGACGAGGTTCCCGACCCTGGGGCACTTCGAGTTCATTCCTCAGCTGCTGGACATCGGTTTAGGGTTTAGGGTTTAGGGTCAAGGGGCCGGGAGCCGGTTGTCGCAAGGCGAACGGTAAAGTGTCCTGAAAACCTGTATAATAGAGTAGTTTCCATTTTCTTTTCCATTATTCCCTATATAACCCCAAAATATACCCTATAATACTATAGTAGTTTCCATTTTCTTTTCCATTATTGCCTAAAGAACCCCAAAATATACCCTACTATACTATAGTAGTTTCCATTTTCTTTCCATGGTGCCTACATAACCTGGTCTCGAGGAAGCGTGTATGCATTGGCACTGTCAGGTCCAGACGTTTGTGAATGGTGTGCAGATGCAGGCTCTTAACACCCATGAGTTAAGCTGGCTGCAACATATCTGGCATGGAGGATTCCTCAACCAGGGACCTGATTTTCAGCGTGCCGCAGATCATCAGCTTCCTGTCCATGGGGACAAGGCCGCGTACTCTTCTTTGAATGTCATCCTAACTTGACCTAGCCGTTTCAGGACACTTAGTGGCAGCAACCTCGCGGCTCAAATGCATCCTGAAGTTTACTCCTCTGGTAACACGTGTCATGAAGAGTCTTTGCCATAGACGGCAGCTTGCGCAGGCTAATGCCGGGCACTGTCATCCTCACAGGCCAGGCTTTCTCGAGCGCACATTCCAGTCAAGATGCTTAGGGGGCCGGTAAGCTTCAAGGAGAGGATCCGAGTAAGCCCAAAAGTCTGAAAGTTCAATGACGCCTACCTGGCCTACCTTCCATTGCCGGGCACACTACGTGGTTTGTCACGTGATCGGCCCCGGAAGTGGCATGTGCGAGACAGCTACATGTTGATCATCCCTCGCTTGCAGGCACACCATTCGGCCCACCACTCGGAACTGCAGCGAGCCATCTTGTTGACATCATTTGACATCTGGGCATTGCATGGTGTTGCGAGCTGCGTGCTGAGAAGTGCAGGCATATCACTTGCCTCCAGGTGTGGCTGAAGGTCGCAGCCCGCAACCGTGGCTAAAGTCATGCACTCGGCCTGCTCTTATGCAAGCCTTTGAAAAGGGCTGAGCATTCATGAGGTGAGGTTCCATTCCAGTTCTGATGCCCAGGCCAGGCGATCGCGTGGCAGTGGAGGTGGAGGGTCTCGGCCGGCTGGAGAATACGTGGGGGAACCCAAATAGCGCACGGCCAGCAAGTGGCGCGCGGCTAATGCAAGTGCTCAGGATTGTAGAAGACACCTCGAACACCAGCTGCTTCTTCGTGGCAGCGCCCAAACTTTGAATCACCAAAGCAGTGAGCGCATTAGGAAGTAGGGAGTAGAAAGTCATCTCAACCGCAGCTGCAGTGTCCAGCTTGCAGCTGCAGTTGCTCGTCCTCAGTGGGCCTCTTAGGCACGTCCTTGAGATGGATGCGTGGCACAGCCCGTGCATGAAAACACAGAGGTTCTGTGAGCTGCTCCAATGCCAGAAAGCCCACAAAGCCTAGGCCCCCGCTGCCGAGCTGCACGGGGGTAGCGACTTTGGAGCAGCTCCTAAGACCCAGTGCCCGCAGCTCTCCAGACGTCTCACAGCCAGGCGTTGGCCGTGGATGAAATGCCAGGGCTGGGGTTTCTGCACCTCCTCCTTCCAAGCCCAGCAGCCAATCGAAATCACTATCATGACTACTATCATTCGACCATTTTTCTACTTCTTTTTTAAATACCATTGTTACTATTATTATTCTTGTTACCATTAGTAGTACGATGATTACTATAACCATTGTTACTAGTATTCGTCTCCTTACTACTACTAGTAGGGGGGAAGGCATGTCAAGAGCGCCTTGCTCCCAGGTTCGGCACTGCAACTTCACGCAGCGAGGCCCTGCAGCACCGCGAGAATTTGGGAAAGGCATAATAGAGCTAGATTTTAGGGTTGTATAGGGGTTATATAGGGTTTACACCTGCTTACAGGGGTTTAGGGGTTTTTCGGCTTTAGGGGTTAGAGTTTAGGGGTTTATTAGGGTTTAGGGTTTTGGGGTTTATAGGGATTATCATGGAGAATCACATGGAAAAGAACATGGAAAATGAAAGGGAAGCTTGGATTAAAGAGTAGTTTACAGTCGAGTACTGTAGGGCTGATGGGCATTCCTACTTTTACCAGAAACCAGATGTTGAGTGAAGCAGGATACCATCCGCGCCAATACGTGCGCGCCCATGCCTTAACGCAACGTCTGCGGTTTTGTGGTAGTTTCCCAAAATAAGGGGACCCCACTATAGACCCCAATATACTATAGTCCTTATTATGGGGACCCCCAAGGAGGTACCCCTAATTTTGGGAAACCCCCTTGTGGAGAAGCTACTCTCAGCGCGTAGGCGCCCATCCCGGTGTTTAGGAGCCCGCAGCCTACTGCGAAGCAAACATGATTGACAGCAGCATTGGAAGCCCCTGACATGGCATTCATACGGGGGGTAATGTATCTACGTATATATATATATATTACGGGGGCTATTAAAGGGAATGCTAGGGGGTTAAATTGGGGATCATATAGGGTACTATTCTGGGGGTCATTAAGGGGATAAAAGAGCTTAGACTATAGCTCATGTTGCACTTGAGGCCCGGATTTTTGCCCGCGCGATGACCGTACTGGCCGCACGGGGAGAGCTCCCTGACACGGAGGCAAGTGTCTGCCAGCTATGGTGATATGTAGGGATATTATAGGGATATAAAGGGATATCATAGGGATATTATAGGGATATCATGGGGATGTCATAGGGATATATAGGGATATTATTGGGAAATATAGGGTTTATGGTTTAGGGATTAGGGATTGATGCTTTCAAGCTTTCTGTGCCTGAGCTCTCTTTCTCAGAATCTCCCTGAGAGGTTATTGACATGGGCCATGATGTTTGTTGAGAAGGATTTTCACACCGTTGCCAACTGTCTGGCTGTATTTCAGCGACAAAACGGAGATGACTTCCGAGGCAGCTGAGCAATGCAGTGCGGTAGCTACTGCAAAGATAAGACCGAGCTTCAAACTTCAACCGGTGGAGTAATTGGTAGCAACTCCAAACCGGGCCATAGTAGCTTCAGCTGAGCATTCTTCGGAGCCCCAGAACCTCCTCAACCTTAAGCTAAGCTTGAAGAGCAGCCCTGCTCTTCGGACCCTTGGCTGGCCATGCCGCTGCCGCGTGCACCAGCATCCCGGCGTCCGCGTCGGCTCTTCCCTCTGCTTGCAAGTTCAGGCTGGCGTGATTGAAGTTACGGGGTACCAAGCCTGCATGCCAAAAGTCTGACCATTTTGAATCAAATGTTGAGGCATGCTGGCCTGCATTTTTCCAAGCTTGCCGAGCTTTGTTCCGCGAGGTTCCGGTGGGGCTGCTCAAATACACTCCGCTCGCCCGCAAAAGTAAACGGTTGGAGGGTAAGCCTGTTTTGGGAGGACCATCCGGAGACCATGGAGTTTCGGTGACGGGGGTCAAATGCTGGAGTCTGGTCAAACCGGAGTTAGTGAAGACGGCGTCTTTGCCAAGAGAGGGAAGAGATTAACCTGACTTGACATGTCCAACATTCTTATCATGAGACTGGCCCACTTGCGATCCGTACATCAGATTGGGCAATTCGACAGAGAGTGTTACACACGCGCAGTGCCGGCTCAGAGACCATTGCATCAAACAATGGTTTAGACTGCACATTTTCAGGAGCGCTCGGCGCCGCGCTGGGAGTTGCGTCAACGACGCTTCAACAGCCAGAGGCGGCACAGGCAGGCCGAACGGAGAGAAAGCCTGCGGGCGCAAAGTAGGAAGCCTCACTTTTGATCTCTTGCAGACTCATCACGTAACCCGCCACAAACAGGGAACACTCCAAAATACTCCAAAGAAGCCCTCCTGTGGCCAGGCCTTGGCAGACCGAATGGTCCTGGCCGGAACTAGCAAGACGGTGTGCTGTGTCTGAAATGTCTGAAGCAGTGCGTTTCAAGCCAATGCTGCAAAGCAGAAGACAGCAACAAAGGTAAGGGCATGCTCCAAGCATGCTATTGATGACACTGCTGTCTTGTGCAGATTCCGCCTCATTGAAGCGGCAACTCTGAGGCCCTTGTGGACACCGCCATGGGTGGGACTGCCTCCTCTTGTTCAGTGGCTGGGCATCCGAATCTCAAGTCTCAAGGCGTCTGAGGAGCGGTGCAGCTGCTGCCCATTAGCGAGTTGTGCGTTAGACCCTCATGGATCCACTGTTGACATCTTCGCTCTGATTTAATTGCCTAAGTGAGCGAATATCATGTGTTCAGCAAGTTGAATTCCTGGAAACTATGCCTAATCATTTGCCGTGCGTCTGCTTGTGTAAGATGCTAGACCTTGGCCCCTGATACATGAAAATTGCTTCTTAGTGCTGGTCGTAGTGAATGGTGCTGCAATACTTGGGAAGTCGTATGGTGGCTTACAAGAATAGTAAGAGAAGTGCGAAGCATCAGCCAGCAACTGAACAAGGGTTGGCGGCTTCGCCTTCATCATGCTCATAGTTGCCGGTGTGTCCGGGCCCCAGTGCTGGGGCACAAGTGAAAGCACACGTTTGCAAGTCACTGCGAGGGTGAGTGGGAATGTATCTTGACATGCAGTCGTGTGAAGTTTTGACTTGCGCAGCAGATGAAAAGCTGTGTAGTAGCAGCTTCGTGAGGATGTCTGTCTGAACCAGTATTGTGGCCGGAAATGTGGTCAGCTGTGCAATGTTGTGCACATCTGTCCACTCAGGACACCGTTGTTCATGGGCCAGGGCCTCTTTGGCTTGAAGCCACCTGTGGAGCCGGACTGCAAGGGAGATGGCTGTAGTGTCACGCAAGATGCCACGCTCCCTAGTTACAGAATTTACAGACCGTGGGGCGTAGTGAGGTAGCAGCAGGAACTAAAGTCTGAACCTGTGAGCTTTGTCTTGCCAAGAGAGGAGCCTGTCGAAGAGGAGAAGCCCCAAATTGAGCTTGGCCGCTTGGCAAACGCATCCTTCTGCTTCATAGTCTTGTGTATTCGATGGGGGCGAGGTGTAACCGATGATCTCTTTGCACCGGGTCGGCGGCGCCGAGCAGCGCCAAAGCCGGCAAAGAAAGCGGCCCCGGCGATGTCCGAGGAGACTCCTGAGGAGGCCGCGCCCAGCGAGTGGCTTGGATTGCAGAGATGGCCGCAGCTTGCTGCAGCTTGCGGCAGCTTGCTGCGAGTGCTGTCCGTGCACGTCACCCAAGGCCTGAGCCGGACGCAGAGGCCAAGCCGCGCGTCTCGGCATGGCAGCGACTGAAGGACTGGATGCTGGTGCACACAGAGCCAAGGAAAGTCATTGCAGTAACAGACACTTTTCATGCTTGTTCGAGATGCCTCAGTGCATGAATGCCACAGAGTGGCCATCATGACAAGGCTTGTCAGCTGCCATGCCAGGAGGGCCTGTGATGGAGCTGATGCTGGGCCTGCTCGTAGTTTTTCTGCAGGGTGAATCTGTTAGCTCGTGCCACTCGCAACAGGCTCCAAAGCAACGAGGGATCAGTTTATCCTCGTGGATCCATTGCATGTGCGTCACGAGCCCGCAAAATGGTTTGTCTGAGTTGTGTGCTTTTCATGCGATGGAATTTTGCGGGATGTTTGCAAGAATTCTAATGGAATCGAGCAGCTGATCCTGTTTGCTGGTCTTGATCGCCAGCGGCACTGGAAGTCAGCTTGTGTCCAACGCCTGCCAGCGAGGTCTGCCTTGACTCAATGGATGCAGCAAGCTTCACGACAGGCCGTCGTGGCTCAACATCCAGTTCTGCAGCAAAGATAATCGACCATAGCCGACCAGCTTTGCCAAGACGCTGATCTGAACTGACGGCAAGCCTGCAGATTAAGAGCGTCATTCTCATGACAGGCAGAGGTTCAACAAGCGTGGGAGCAGTCAGCCGATACCACGGAAGCTCTTTAATCTTACAACTCTAGCAGCTCTAGCAATAGCATTCGTGAAATCCCCGGCCTCGGGCCGGGGTGGCGCATCTCATCGGGCCACCATGATGGTGCAAAGCTGCCGGAGCCCCACAGCAGCCCTTCCTTGCGAGTGGAGGGCTGAGCTGGCCGAACTTCGTGCTCGATGCATGGATGATGGAGGATTTTTTGAACTTCATCGTGCCTTGCAGTGTCTTGGAGGCCGGCAAAGCTTCCGGCCAAGCTGGCCAGGCCAGCTCCTGGGGCCAAGTCCCCGCGCTCTCTGGGCTCTCTGCACTGTGCAGCCTCCTTCAAGGATGGGCTGATGGGCTCACAGGGCGGATCAGGGAGTTCCCACTGGGAGGTCTCTGAGTGTACATGCATACATGCGTATACTATATATAAAGATGTACATACATATAGCATTAAAGTCATATCTCATGCCTGGACGGCGATAGGTAGGTGTCATGTCATCCCTCAAGAGGTTTTGGCTGTTGCGCTACCGCTGGCGCTGGGGAGGCTGTCTCCTGCCATCAGCTTGCCAGACTTCAGTACCTGACCTAACAGAAGGGTAAACCAATAACAAGTCAAGGGGGTTTGTGATTCCTCGTGCCCGCCCTTGCCCTGGGTCGCCGATTTTGTGGAGGCGGCAGCTGAGAACATCTCGAGCTTGCCGATGCCCTCAAGGCCTCACAGAGATGTGCTTAAACAAGTATCTAAACATGTGATTCTGTGAAGAGCTTTGCGTTTTGGGAGGTCGGCTGCCAAAGCGCCGAGAGACGTTGCTGGCAGGGGTGGGTGCGGGAGTTGCCAGTCAGAGCGCCCAGGCCGCCTGGGTTTCCTTCCTAGCCTTAGGCAGCCCCCCTCTCAAGACCTGGAGTTCACAAGCAGCGCCTCTCCACAGCAAGTTAGGAAGCTGTCAATCGCATGTGGCTCGATACGACGCTGGCTAGGCCGCTAATTTGAGCCAACTTTGCCTGGTCAGGCTCTCGACGGGGCTGAGAGTGATTACGCATCTTGGCATTGGTGCCGGCACTTGCAGGAATGATCAGGCATGCTTCAGCTGGTATCTGGCTGCTGACCGAAATGCTGGCACGTTGTAATGCAGAAGACCACCACGTAATTTGCAAAGTCAAAGGGATAGGTCCACAAAATAGGGTAGATAGGAGAATTACAGTGCACTCATGCAGCAACCATTGAACCCGAGGTTTATCCAGAATGGTTCACCTTGCCGTTGGCGCCCTACGCGCGCCGGCGGACGTTGCAGAAAGAAATTGTGCCAGGGCAGGCGTGGCATCAGAAAGCACTTCTCACCAAGTATATACAGTAAGGGTGAAGAAAACGCAGAAGACTAGGTTCCGTAGAGTTGTAGAGCAACTGCCGCTGGATGGCAATGGCAGGTCTGGGTCCTGGATCAAATTTTCGGCACTTTCTATGTGCACGTTCCCATTCGAGCCACGGTTCTGAAGGCCGAGCCTTGCAGCTACTCGGGACAGCATGCCGGTTGCTTGCGATGCGCTATGCTGGTATTAGTTGTTTGTGAAAAGCTCATGATTTGAGAAAATCCTCACGACATTGCTCTCTCGACATGGAAGGTTGACGGTGGCCTGCTGGTCTACGCCCCGGTGGCGGCGACCAAGGAATGCGTTGGCCTCTCGTATGAATTCAGCTATTCTTCGCGCAGCCAGTGCCTTGAGTTCAGCTATCACCTGCAGCGTCAAGTGGAGACGTATTTCCTTTTCAGGAGATGTGGGTTGCACCATGCACATGGCAGAAGTCAAGTCATGTAATGATATGTTTGGGTGCAGTTATTGGGATCGCCAGCAACTATGGGGTAATCAGCCTCTATGTTCCACAGCCGGTGCGCTGGCAACCAAGTGTGCTAAGAGACCATGAGCTCCCGCACGCATCACGTGCTGTGGGTTCCAAAGTTGGGTTAGTTGGTGCGCACGGCACGCAAAGTCTCATGACATCTAATATGACCGGTCTGTGCTCGCTTTGCATCAACTTACGTACTTGACTTCACGCAGCTTTCAGAAAGCTGTGGAGCTGAATTTCCTGTTTCTGCAGGCATTGCAAGCCAGTAATGCAGGTATGATCAGAGCTCTTGAACAAGAGCACGGACCAGTTCGTTGCTGGTCTGCAAGGGCATGTAAGTTGTAAACCCTCGAAGCTGCTATGCACAATGGCAGTCTGTCCTAAGACGCCGGCTCAAGGATGGATCTTGCTTCCTTCCAAAGCTGTCGAGCACAAGGCCGCGCCAGCATGGCATCGTTGACCAAGTGCTGTACTGTACTTATATCTAAATCCAATTGTCAAGGCACAGTGGGCTTGGCAAGATTTGCCCTGAGGCATCATTCATTGCATGATTGAATCCGTACTGCATAGTAGTTTCCATTTTCTTTCCCATTATCCCTATATAGCCCCCTTTAAAACCCCACTATCTACCCTCCATAATCCATAACATAGTGCCTTGACGTTAACATGGCCTTGAGATCCGCACGCCTGGGACAACCATGGGCGCGGATGAACCAACCACATCTCTTACTTGGGGTTAGTAGGGAACATTGGAATATAATCCCAATGTACTCCTTATGTAGTATATTCCTATATTCCGAATCCCTACTAACCCCAGCAAGTTCTGAAGGAAGCTAGCGCTGGCCCTTCTTGCAGTTTTGGGCAGGTCCTCACGGGTCCATTTGCTCGAAGATTCCCAGACGCGAAGCTCCTCAACAGCATTTCCGGCACTCTTGCGGGATCCTTGTCTAAAGCCAACAGACGATTCTTTTCAAGCTGCTGAAAGGGGAATTACCGTTATAACTATTATTACCATTATTACTATTATTACTATTACTGGTATTACCATTATTTTTATTCCTACGATCATAACCATGATTACTATAATAGTCATTATATAGCTATTATTACCTTTATTACTACTATTGATCTATTCAGGGCAGTAAGCTACGCCAACCCGTGCAGCCAAGGCTCTTTGTAGCTCCCGGACAGTTTTCCGTCCCCATCGCCGAAGGCTCAGGCGAAAACCCTTCACGGTCTAGGGTTTAGGGTTCAGGCCTCAGGCGAAAAACCTTCACGGTAAAGATACCCTATTATAATATAGTAGTTTCCATTTTCTTTTCCATTATCCCTATATAACCCCAATATAAACCCTATAATCCAAGATTCAGGCGAAAAACCCTTCACGTCCAATCTTTATGACAGTCCTGTGACCTTGGCCGGCAGTCACCAGACTGCAACTCTGCATGTGCCTTCTTGTAATAGCAGTGGTAGTAATGAACATGAAATAGTAATGATTGTAATAGTAGTAATAATCGTAAGAATAGTAATAATGGTAGAAGGATTGTAATAGTAGTAATAGTCGTAAGAATAGTAATAATGGTAGGAGGATTGTAATAGCAGTCATAAAGGTAATACCCCAATATAACCCTAATATAACCCCCAATACAACCCTAATATAACCCCAATATAACAATAGATAATAGTAGTGCTGGCCCTCAGCTCCGAGGATTTACCGCTGAGTTCCCTGGGGTTTCCTCCCTTCGAGGCCACGGCTTCCCAGGTTTAAATGGGCTGCCAGGCTTGCTTTTGCATATCACCTCCTGTCAGCACAAGTTCATTATAGTATAATTTAGTAAAATATTGTGATGTATTATAGTGTACGATAATAGTATATAATAGTGTAATATAGTATATTATAGTACAACTGTTGCAGTCGAAGGAGTCTTACACCCGCTTACTCAGTGTTACTCAGTGGCAGCTCATCCACGGGAGAGCCACAGGACGTGATCCTGATAAGAAGGTCGTTGACCCGAGCCGCCTGGACGAGCTCCCCTGGGCAAAAGACTGTGACACAGCTCACGCAGGGAAGCCCGGATCGTGCCTGCTTGCCCGTAAGGCGCTCGCATCGGTCCTGATGATGAGGTAGATGTCAGCACGTTCGGCGAGATCGCTCTCTTTCACCGAAGCTGCTTGGATCGAAGATGTTCCAGACCATGCTGCACTAAAGCGGCTGCTCATGTGTGTATATATATATATATGCGCAGCCATGAAAACCGGGCTGTTGAGGCTGTTTCTTGTTGATGTGCAGTGCACTGTATCTAAACATATGCAAATGTGCCAAAGGAGTTAATCATGAGCCTGCAGTCGTATGGGGCATTATGGGGCCATGGGCTATATCAGCACACTTGACTCCCCGACCGCCTTGTTAACCTTAGCTGCCGAGAAAATGTGGGGGCCTAAATAGTTACCAATGTTATGGTTCCTCTTATTCCTTGTATAATTATAGTATATGGTACCTCAAATGGACTTCAAAATGATGTTGGTAATTATTTAGGCCCCTGTAGTAGAGCCTCTGCCCAATCCCAGAGCCATGGCTTTGGGCACTCGCACCATGGATGGGCCGGAGACTCGGTGGTAGTGTCCCCAAATAGGAGGGGGGGGGGGGCCATATAGACACCAAAATATTATGATCCTCATTATGGGGACCCCCAAAATGGTACCCCAAATTCTGGGGGAAGTAGTTTCCCTAAACAGGGGGACCCCAAAGGCCTGAAGCTGCTAAGGCCGATGGAGCGAGCTGCAGCAGGCCACGAGACAGATTCTGGGTTGCTGATAAGGAACTTAGGGGTTTCCCAAGGAGAATCAAATGGAAAATAAAAATTTTGGGTTTAGGGTTTAGGG